TTTAAAATGTTTTTGTATTTTTTATTTTTGAATTAGAGTTGAGGTACAGTATAGTTTCAGGTGCATAACCCAGTGATTGAACATTTATATAACTTACAAAGTGGTCATCCCAATAAATCTTGTACGATCTAACACCATACATATTATAATGCTAGAAGCCCAGTGCACAAAATTCATGCATGAGTAGGGTTCCTAGCACCTACCAGCTGCTGGCTGGGGCCTTCCTTCGTTCCGTGTCACCCTGTGGCAGCACACGTCCTAGGGAGCAATCGAACTCCTGGTCAGTCGAACTCCCAAGGGGACACTTTGCATATTGGGCTTTTATAAATATAAATTATTGACTATGTTTCCTATGCTGTACTTTATATCCCCATGACTATTCTGTACCCGTTATTTTGTACTTTTAAAAAATTCTTATTTTTGAAAGTATTACATATGTCCCTTTATTTTTAGAAACATCTTCCTCCTCTTGGCTTTGCCTGCCCTGAACTTTCTAGTCTTTTTGTTCCAGGAATTCTAATGGTTAGGTGAGCACAGCCTGGGGCAGATGCTAGCCACCTTGAACAGCACCTAGAGCAGTGATGGTGAACCTATGACATGCGTGTCACAGGTGACACGCGAACTCATTTTTTGATTGATTTTTCTTTGTTAAATAGCATTTAAATATATAAAATAAATATCAAAAATGTAAGTCTTTGTTTTACTATGGTTGCAAATATCAAAATATTTTTATATGTGACATGGCACCAGAGTTAAGTTAGGGTTTTTCAAAATGCTGACACGCCGAGCTCAAAAGGTTCACCATCACTGACCTAGAGGATGATTTTGGTATATGAGGTTACTCACTCTTAAACAATTTCACTCAAAGAAACTTAAAGCTATAATTGTAGCCATAAAGGTGAACATGTATCCAATTATTCTGTCAAATAAGAGGTAGAGAAGATGGAAATGGGTAGCAATGTTTCCAGGGATCACTTAAAGGAATGCATTAAAAGAAGATCCTGGAAGCCATTTAGTAAGTATAACAAAGTCACAAAATACAGGGTGTCCTCCAAAAATGTATGCACACTTTAACAGCTGATAGCTCAATTTTAAACATGAAATGTATTTTAATAAACAAATTATAATTATTCAAAGCGTGTATATACATTTTTTTTCTGGGACACAGCCAGACATAGTCAGTGACATAGCATTTAACCAATCCTAAAATTAGCAACTGTTGTTCAGATAAATCTTACTACAATCTGATTGCAGTTAACTCTACCTGAGAGTAAAATAAAACCACGAATATTGCTGCATGTGAAAAACAAAACAAAACAAAACAAAACAAAGGGAGAGAGAATCTAACACAGCCAGATCACTCAGACATGGAGTGATATCATTGGTGGGCCACTGGGGAAGAAGTAAGTCTGCAGAGAAACCAGGTAATAGTGTTTTGAACATTTCCCCTTAAATTAGTCCAGTTAGGAATTTTTATGTTCTGACCATCCTGTGGTTACTTTTGGTTATTGAGCTTGTCAGGTTTAGTATATGGCCTCTTTTTTGTTCATACAGGGAAGGGAAGAGCTGCTGGATATTTTCTATCTCCTAGCCTGATTGTTGCTATTGCATGGGCTGAACAATTTCATCCTCACTTTTCAGAATTTAGGGCAGCCAACTTGCTCCCTCAATAAAAAGGGGTGCTTTAATGCTGGTCATTGTTCCTTTTTTTTTTTTTTTACAAGGTACTTAGTTTGTAATTATACATTTATGAGCATGATTATTTGATTATTGTGCCCAAAGCATTGGAACTGGCCATGTAATGGATGAAATAGAGCATTGGTTCCCTCCAAGCCCTCAGTGAACCAGAAGTTGGTTCGCTGTGCAAAAGATGGTCACAGTGTCCTTGAGGTGGAACAGGAATGGGACGTGCAGGGGAAGGACCCCTCCACTTGACCCTAGTCCTGGCTTTCATTAGGGAGATGGAGGCCAGAGTATCTGAAAGTGTGCTGCTTCCTTCACTTAATTCTGCACGGAATCAGCATCTGCCAAAGTGATGAAGCGAAGAAAAGTCTCAAAGCTAGGGGGCGGGAGGAAATCTTAGCGGGAGCCCTTCCCTAAGCTCCCTTCCGCGGCTCCGAATAGAGTCCTCTCAGCCGCCAGATGGCGCAGCGCACAGAGCCTTAGACTCTATGGTCGCTCCCATGAGGAAGCGCGACCAGGAACCGCCTATATACTTCCGTTTCCGGCCTATCAGCTTCCTTTCCCTGCTGATAGCTCTCGCAGACATGGTAGGACTCTGGGGTCGGGACAGAGAAACATCCAGTTTAATCTTCTCTCCCCCAGCAAAGGTTCCATCCCTGGGTAGGTCCAGGCCTCTGTGTGGACTCGTACCAAAGAAACCCAGTGTTGCCGGGATCGATTCCGAAGGGAACTGGCTTTGGGGCCTGGAATTGAAATGACGGCATCAAAGAAGTAGACTTAGTGGGAGGTGGCATGAATACGGTCTCTTTCCACTTTGGGGCTCATGGGAGGCAGCAGCTGTACGTGAAGTACATGGGACTGGACCACCTTCTAGTGAGTGGTGTGTTAGCCAGGAATTTGAGAGTCGAGTCCTCGTGGGCTGCCTTAGTGTGAACTGGGTCGCCGTTGTGCCATTGGCATCTGGTAACACTGCACGTTCTGGACGATTTATTTACTAGGTGAACGTTCCTAAAACCCGCCGAACCTTCTGTAAGAAGTGTGGCAAGCATCAACCCCACAAAGTAACACAGTACAAGAAGGGCAAGGATTCTCTGTATGCACAGGGTAAGATGGTCTTTTGCATGCGATTTGGTTTGAATGTGGCATTTGTGTAGACCCACCCTCTCCCCACCGCTTGGGCAGTGATATTTCTTTTTGAAAACCCAAGATAAAGCCGTAAGACTTTTTCATGTGACTGGTGTGATTTATTAACTTTGGCATACTGTAACAACTTCTCTCAGGAAAGCGGCGTTATGACAGGAAGCAAAGTGGCTATGGTGGGCAGACTAAGCCGATTTTCCGTAAAAAGGTGAGTAGTAATTACTATTGGACATATTTCTCACTGACTCTAGTAAAGACCTTGCATTTGTTGTTAGCCCACACACCTCTACAGTATAGGTATGTGTTTTCATAGTTTCAGCGAAGTTATCTCAGTCACCTGCTGTGACATACTTAGTAGACAGTGGAGCTGGGAGTGCAACAACTTAAGGTTTGTCTACAATACTGTGCCATTGCAATATATATATTATTTTCTGATTCGAGAGCAAGATAGGGAAACATCTATTTTTTCCACTTTAGCATCCATTGGTTGATTTTTTAAAAAATATATTTTGCTTTAGCTGGTTTGGTACAGTGGATAGAACGTTAGCATGTGGACAGAAGGCTTCTGGGTTCGATTCCAGGCTCCTTCCCAGCCCAAGTCCTGGTCGAGCGAATACATATGTGTTTCTCTCACATCAATGTTTTTCTGTCTTTCCCTCTCCCATTCTCTAAAAAAAACCCAAACCCAATGGAAAAATATCTTTGGGTGAGGATTAAGAAACAAAACTATATTTTTATTAATTTCAGAGAGGAAGGGAGAAGGAGAGAGCGATAGAAACATCAATGTAAGAGAATCATTGATTGGCTGTGTCCTGCGTGCCCCCTACTGCAGATAAACCCACAACCCCGGGCATGTGCCCTTGACTAGAATCGAACCCAGGACTGATGGTCTATCCACTGAGCCAAACCAGCCAGGGCCAATGGTTGATTTTTGTATGGGCAGACATCAAATTAAGGAAAGTTTTCTGCCCTTCTAAGGACTGAAGTTTGAGTATACCAGTAAATCCTGTCTTTGCCCTGTTTTATCTGTCATCAGTCCTAGTGAAGCCTCAGTTCTTGCTGGCAGTAAGAATGTTCTTTTGCTTCTCGGTTCAGAAGCCTGCAATGCGTCTGCTATCTATCTCATGAAGTCATAAGCCTCCTTAAAGCGCCATTCAGACCTCCCACTGCATTCTCAGGCTGGATGTGTTTGTTTTTCCTCCAGGTGATTTGGCTATTCCTTAAAGTACACACAGTGCCTAGAAGAGCATTCCCACGAACAATGTTTGCTTTAGCACTTTGCTCTTCCATTTTCCCTGCTTCCAGAGTATTAAGGAATGACTTAGTGTTCATTTAGGTGCAGTAAATGATTTTTGATAGCAAAGTGATAAAAGGAATGATTACCTTTTCACATTTAGGTAACTTGATTAGAAGATAGGGAGGTTCTAGCTAGGTTTTGGATTTGAGAACTGCAAAACTAGCAGCAGAATTCTGACTACAGGAGCAGGCTTAAAAAGTTGAGTGTTTAGGTGGAGTGTACCTTGAGTTAAATAACAGTTGAATGCACAAATTTCTTACATAACAGTTCTTAACCCTATTTCAAGAATTGAAAAAGTATTTTTTATTTAATAGTGCATGAATTTGGATGACCCATTTTTGATTGTTCAGAATATTTAACTATGTAAAGCTGCTGAACAGCCACAAGTTCAAGGTGGCATGAGTGCCTCTTTGATAAGAAGTCCTCTAAGATGCCTGATGTGAATGGAGAACTTGATGGCAATTAGATAACCTTCCACCTTTGCTATTACATTTTCTCTTAAATATGTTGGTTTTCACATTTATGTTTTCTCTCTATAGCCCAAGGCAAATTAAGGTAGTTAACCCAATGCAGTCATATTTTTGAAGAAAGATTTTTTGCAGTGATTTATGAGTAGTATCACTTAATTTCTTTTCCAGGCTAAAACTACAAAGAAGATTGTGCTGAGGCTTGAATGCGTTGAGCCTAACTGCAGATCTAAGAGAATGCTGGCTATTAAGAGATGCAAGCATTTTGAATTGGGAGGAGATAAGAAGAGAAAGGTAATACAATTTCGGGTGGGAGGTGCAATCTTTTTTATATACCTTCATTATATTTGGAGAGGTGAGTATTTCTGCCCACTCTGCGGCATCAAGATCAGGGGCACTCCTTTCAAAATACTTGATCCATAGCTGAAGGTATAAGGTTTTTGGTGTTTGGCAGAAAGGGAGAATGAAATTTGCATGAATTTTAAAAAATATTCTTTAAATTGATTTCAAAGAGGAAGGGAGAGAGAAATATCAATGATGAGAATCTTGATTGGCTGCCTCCTGCAAGGGGGCTGACCCTGCAACCCAGGCATGTACCCTGACTGGAATTGAACCACTGAGCCACACCAGAGCAGGGAGGGGGAGAATGAGAATTATCAGGAGGAGACACTTGATGGAACAGAGGTTCTTTGCAAGAGAAAAACTCACTTTTTCCCCCCCTTTTCTATTGCAGGGTCAAGTGATCCAGTTCTAATCTTCATATTTTGTTTGATTATATGACAATAAAATCATGGTATGTTCAATTCATGTGGTTGCAATTGTTCTATTTGGGAAGGGAGTAAACTAGTCTTCCATAAGGGGAAATTCAAGCTTAATGGTTTTGGGTACTTAGCTCATTTTGGATAGAATTTGGTTGAACTCAAATCAGATGTTGTGATGGCACTTTATTCACTTGGGGCTTCATGGGATCCCTTTTGCTGTTATGAAGTAAGAATTATTGGTATCCATAGTGAATGTTAAGCTTGCCAAGAGTAAAATAATTTGTCTCATACCTTTGAGTTCAATCATTTTTTTTAATCCTTGGATGTTTTTATTGATTTTTTTTTCAGAGGAAAAACACTGGTTGCTTCCTGTACAGAATTTGGGCCCTGTTCTCTAGGCATTACATGTCTTCAGACTACTAGTACCACCCAAATGTTTTAATACACCCCCCCCCTCAAACTTTTTAAAAAGATACATTTTTGTTGACTTCAGAGGGAAAGGGAGAGATAGAAACATCAGTGATGAATCATTGGTCAGTGCCTCCTGCATGCCCCCACAGGATTAAGCCTGCAAACCAGGCTATGGCCTAACCAGGAATCAAACCTTGACCTCCTGGTTCATAGGTCAAGGTTCAATCATTGAGCCATGCCGGCTGCCCCTCCAACCCCTGATCTCAAATTTATACAAATTCTTTTCTTAATTCAAAGGACAATATTTCGTGAATTAAAATCCTAAATGGAACCTAGCGGTGATAATCCATTTTAAAAATGGCTGTTTTAAATTCAAATCCCTTTCATCTTTGTGTACTATTATATTACGGAGATTCAGCTCTTAGTAATAAAGGATATCCAGAGACAAGCATTGCTTAAACCTCAGAGGGGAGGTAGGGAAGGGTAGGGTTAAGGGAGAGATCATCCAAAGGACTTGTGTGCATGCACATAAGCCTAACCAATGGACACAGACACCAGGGGGTAAGGGCATGGGGAGGGTGTGGGGGGGCAATGGGAGGATAAGAACACATGTAATACCTTAAGAATAAAGGATATAACTGAGTTTTGTGCGGTAAAACTGGATGACTAAGTAAATATGCTACCTACTTTGGTAACTGGAAGGACATCTCAGATGGAGCAATTTGCTTCCAAATTTATATTTTTTGAGATATTTTTATTGATTTCAGGGAGGAAGGAGAGGGGGATAGAAACATCAATGATGAATCACTGATAATCTGCCTCCTACTCAAACCCTACTGGGCATTGAGCCTGCAACCCAGGCATGTGCCCCCTTGACCAGAATCAAACCAGGGACCCTTCAGTCCCCAGGCCAACACTCAATCCACTGAGCCAAACCGGCTAGGGCTGCTTCCAAATTTATGTATCTGGATGACTAAGTCATGGTTCACCAATTTCATTGCAGTTTTTATCAGCTGACAATGATTAGACTTCAATTTTTTTTTTTTAATCCTCACCTGAGGATATGCTAACTGATCCTAGAGAGAAACAGACGTGACAGAACATCAATTGTTCACATTCTGTATGTGCCTGACCGGTAATTGAACCAGCAACCTCGGGATGTGGGACCATGCTCCAACTGAGCAATTGGCCAGGACAGTCTTCTAACTTTAATCACCGGGTGGGCAAAGGAATTGTTAAAACATACTTTAGGTCTTTTGCACCGTTGGTTTCTGTAGTGATATTTTTTTACCTGGGCATGTGCCTTGACCAGGAATCCAACGGGCAACCTTTTGGTGCATGGGAGGATGCCCAGCCAACTAAGCCACACTGGCCAGGGCTGTAGTGAAGTTTTATTCAGGGAAATAAAGGAATAGTTGAAGTGAGAATGGGAGAAAAGGACAAATGTGGTTGTCATTGGCAACAAAATATGATTTTTTAAGGAAACTTTTTTGCCCTGGCAAGGTAGCTCAGTTGGCTAGAGCAGCAGTTCTCAACCTGTGGGTCGTGACCACTTTGGGGGTCTAACGACCCTTTCACAGGGGTCACCTAAGACCATCGGAAAACATAATTACATACAGTTTTTGTGATTAATCACTATGCTTTATGTTCAATTTGTAACAATGAAATTGGGGGTCACCACAACCTGAGGAACTGTATTAAAGGGTCGTGGCATTAGGAAGGTTGAGAACCACGGCTAGAGCATCATCCAGGTAAGCCAAGGTTGTGGGTTTGATCCCCATCAGGGCACATGACCAGAATCAACCAATGAATGCGTGATTGAGTGGAACAACAACTTGTTTCTCTTTCTATCCCGCTAAGAAAAATCAATACAAGAGTTTTTAAGGAAGCTTTTAAAATGTAGTCTGGCTTATTTTTAGCTGAAGTAAAACAGTGCCTGTGGGATTTATTCGAGTTTTTACAAATGAAGTCCATTCATAAAACCCAAGTTTTGTCTTCACAGGAAGGAGTTCTGTGATATGACAAGCAGGATTACAGGCCACTCCTTGACCCAGGGAAGCAAGACTGATGGTGTAAGAACGAGGTCCACCAATCTCCTGCAGGTTTACCACAGCCACCGCCCAGGCTAACTTCGAGAGAGGGCGTTCCCATACCTCAATGTTGTCTTCCTGAAAAGCAAGCCAAGAAAATAGGTGTGATAGCTTGGTAACTAGCAGTAAGCTGCCTTGTAGCATTCAGTCTTATTGTCAGAACTACCAAACACTTCTGGAAAATATTAAAGTTATCTTGTAGCATGTTTGGGAACTAAAGTAATGATTGTAGCAAAAAAGCTTCATTACTGATCATACTGAGATTAAAAAATGTATTCTCAAAAGATCAGTGCATATCTTAATATATAATAGATTTAGGCCCAAGATAAACTTGGCATTTGAATATAAAGCCATCTTAAATACATAACCCAAACAAACATTTGGATGAATTTTAGTTTTTTTAATCCTCACCCGAGGATATTTTTCCATTGATTTCCAGAGAGCGTGGAAGAGAGTGGGAAAGACAGAAAAATATCAATGTGAGAGAAACACATCGATTGGTTGCCTCCTGCACACACCTGGGGAGGTGCCTGAAATCGGGGTACATACCCTTGACCTGAAACGAACCCGGGACCCTTTGGTCCACAGGTCAACACTGGGCCAAACTGGGCAGGGCCATTTGGATGAATTTTAAACTAGAAGGCAGGAGAACATGTTCTTGGCCAATTCCTATTTTCTTCCAGAGAACATTTACTATACCTTTCTAAGTAGGTACCCCTGCTTGCCCAAGGGGTCCTGGTTGATGGCAATTACATCCTTATTCTGTAGGAGAGTTTTGGCTTGAAGGCTGATGTGTCTGAGGTCATTGGACATGAATAATGGAGCTGCCATGATAGCCCAAAGGGCCATCTGAGTTATCTGCTGATCCCAGCTGAGGCCAAAGTTGCCAATCACTAACTGGGACAAAGAGTGAAATTAGAATTCATATGAGAGAAGACAAACATTCTTAAAGTTATCCAGACACAGAAACCACTTTCCATGGCACCCTGCTTTGAGTACTCTCACATAAACGCTGCTCCAAGGAACTTTCCAATTTACCTTGAATGTCATACAGGAAACAGGCCCATTGCAAGGGTTTGAACACAGACGGCTCAGGTTCTTACCATATCTGGGTCATTCCAACCTCCAGGTCCTGCAGCACTAACAACTGTCCGCTGGTTAGAAGAGGTCCAGTCCAAAATACTCTTTACACTTTGCCAAGAATCATAAATGTCTCCAAAATTTCTCCAGTGATTGCAGTACTGTCGGATTTCTGTATAATTGGGCTATGAAAACAGAGATACTGTAACTCTTCTGCTTACTTTCTACTAATATTCTTGCGAGATGAAAATAGTCAAGTTTAAAGGAAGGACTTGTAGCCTTCTCTTTAGTTTATAGCTTGAAAGTCTCCATTGAGGAGAGCTAAATCCTTATTATAATGGAACTTCACTGTAAAATTTTGTTTCAGAATTAGGCCATATAACTTAAAATTTCTACTTAAAATGGCATAAACAATATTTATGCTGGAAATTTACCAATGGTAACTAAGTACTGGGATTATGGAGGATTATTTTTTTATACCTCACTACTTTGAAACTTCTAAAATGAACATGTACTGTATTACTTTTAAAATCACAAATAACAAATGACAATAAGTAAAATCAGCTGAAAAATTACATAGAACTCATCAAACCTAAGAATCTAAATCCTAGGCATATACTTTGTCAACAGAACAAATACAAGTTTGTAAATAGGCACATGGGATATCCAAGGTTTAAGATGTTGAGAGAAAGGTAAAGATTATTTTAGAGATTAGAAAGAAATAACAGCCCTAGCCGGGTCGGCTCAGTGGATACAGCATCGGCCTGAGGACTGAAGAGTCCCGGTTCCACTGTGGTTGTGGGCTTGATCCCTGGCCCTGGTCAGGGTGCATGCAGGAGGCAACCAATGGATGTGTCTCTCTCACATCAATGTTTCTCTGTTTCTCCCCTCCCTTCTACTCTCTAAAAATCAATGGAAAAATGTCATTGGGTGAAGATTATTAACAAAAAAAAAGAAATAACAGGGATTCATTCTATCATTATTCAACACTTACCATATGCTAGTGATAAAGTCAGACAATGTCCCTGCCCTCCTAGAGCTTATATTCTAGCGGGGAGACAGTAAGTCAGTTAACATATAATTCTATATAGTGCTAAGTAAGGTCTTTGATGAAAACTAAATAGGTTAATGTGATAAAGAATGACTGGATAGAGCACTATTTTTAAAATATATATATATATTTTTTATTGATTTCAGAGAGGGAGAGATGGAAAGATCAATGAGAGAGAATCACTGATGAGCTGCCCCCTGCATCCCCCACACTGGGGATTAAGCCCAAAACCCAGGCATATGCCCTGACTGGGAGTCGAATCACAACCTCCTGGTTCATAGGTTGATGGTCAACCACTGAGCCACACTGGCTGGGTTAGAGCACTATTTTTTATAAATATATTTTAAAAGTCCTTGCCTGAGGGTATGTTTTAATTTTAGAGAGAGGAAGGGATGGGGGGGTGGAGACGGGGTTGGGGGGGGGAGAAATTGGTTGCCTCCCGTGGTGCGGGGATCAAACACGCAACCTGTGTATGTGCCCTAACTAGGAATCAAACCTGCAACCTTTTAGTGTATGGGACGATGCTCCAACCAACCGAGCCACCTGACCAGGGCAGGATAGAACACTATTTTAGAGTAGTTAGAGAAGATCAGTCTAGTGTGTGGTATCTGGTCTGAGACCTCAATGTTAAGAAGGAGCTCAGAAATCTTGGGGAAGAAAACAATAAGCAATAGGTCCCAAGGCAGCAATAGGCCTGGAGTGTTTGGGGGACAGAAGGAACACCAATGCAATGAGGGCGAGTGATGGGGAATGGGGTTGGAGAGATAGTCCAGGGTCCGATCAGTGGGGTTTGATTGTATTCCAAGTGAAATGGGAAGCCCGTTAAGCATTTTAAACAGGGGAGTGATGTGATTCCACTTACACTTTAACAAGGACTCTCTGGTGCTGCTGGAAAAATGGTTGGGGGTAAGTAGAGATGGTAGGATGAGACTGTTAAGTAAGGTGGGACTTTGAAGGAGACCTTTGTTCTCAAGTCCTGAAAATCTATCACCAAGGGTCTATTGAATTCTGGAGTCACTAGCTCACCTTCTTAAAGGGCCACATATAAAGGGGCCACTCACAGGAGTACACAATGCTTCTGCCAGTCTTGTTCAGGGACAAGGACATGTGCTTATAACCTGAATGAGAAAACAATGGGTAAAATAAGGGGACAAAAGGGATTTTCAACGGGGTCTGCCCTGAAGGGCCACGTTTATATTTTTAAACCAGCAGCAGAGACAAGTAGCTGCTCTGTGTTGAAATTGTGTGTAATACCTCCCAGACTGCTGGGATTGTTCTGAGGATATAGTGTGGGATGGTGCATATATTGAGGAAAGGCCGGCATGAAGATGCCCCTTTCTCTGTGGCTGTTTGACATTCTAGATGCTTTCCCAAATTATGTTATGGAGAGTTAGAATTACTATTTGTAATTAACTCAGAGCCCTCTTCAATTAAAAGTGCACAGTATTAGCTGTGGTTAAGTAAGCATGGATTTTATATTGAATAAATGAATGAGTGCATGGACAAACTGAAAGAAGAGAAGAGGTAGGAGCTCTGGCATATTGAGAATAATTATTTCCAGTATTGTGACTGGGTACTTAAAATGGGAATATTAGTTCTGTGGATACCCAGTTACCTTGGCCTCAAAGTTCTTCTCTTTGCTCATGGCTAAATCTCTTGAATGAAACATACCATCTGCCAGCTGTTCCAGAGTGTCACAGTGACAACCATCAAATTTTAGCAGATCTACTCCCCAGTCGGCAAAGGTTTCGGCATCAATGTCATAGTGTCCCAAACTCCCAGGGTAGCCTGCACAGGTTTTTTTCCCAACATCTGCATAAATTCCTAGCTTCAGTCCTTTGCTATGGACCTGAAATGAGAGGAAAGAGTCACCACAATAGAAGTGCAATCATGAAGCACAGAGAACTACTCCATGCTGTGGGAAGAGACACATACACTTCACCAGGTACTGGGGGCATTTTTTCCATGAGTCCCCAAAATTATCTAGATGAGTTTACTGGGAGACAAAGAGCAACTTCTCTAATTCTGCTGAGTTCAAACTCACATGTAAGCTATAGCATAGAGCTGAAGAGAAAGTTATCAGCCACTCTAATCTTTCTCGGATGGGAACCTAAAAGTTACCTTTCCAGGGCAATGATGTCTGGACAGTCTCTCCTTGAGCAAACCTTGGTTAGGTTCCTCTAAGCTCTCTTCTCAAGTAGGCCTCAACTTTGTCATTCAGCGTCCACTTTTAGCAAGAATCCTGCTAAGTCTTCCTCTTTTTAAAAAATTTTTTTAAAAATACATATTTTATTGATTTTTTTACAGAGAGGAAGGAGAGGGATAGAGATCCAGAAACATCGGTAAGAGAGAAACATTGATCAGCTGCCTCCTGCACACCTCCTACTGGGGATGTGCCCGCAACCAAGGTACATGCCCTTGACCGGAATCGAACCTGGGACCCTTGAGTCTGCAGGCCGACGCTCTATCCACTGAGCCAAACCGGTTAGGGCCTTCCTCCTACTCTTGAAATATGATCTTGATATATGATCAAGTTCCTCATCTTCCACCCTTGATGTGTAAGTCCTTGGCCTGTCTTTAGCAAGAATCCTCCTCCCCTTAGTAATTTTCCATCCAATCATCCTCCCAATCTACTTGTTGGCTACAAATCCCCACTTGTCTTTGTTATATTCAGAATTGAGCTCAGCTCCTTCCCTTACTACAACAGTACTAAATAAAATGTCTTCATTTTCGTTAACTAATGTTTGGCTCTATTACCCTTAAAAATCTTGCCCTGACCGGTTTGGCTCAGTGGATGGAGCGTTGGCCTGTGGACTCAAGGGTCGCGGGTTTGATTCCGGTTGGGGGCATGTGCCTTGGTTGCGGGCACATGCCCAGTGGGGAGTGTGCAGGGGGCAGCTGATCGATGTTTCTCTCTCGTCTAGGTTTCTAGCTCTCTGTCCCTTTCCCTTCCTCTCTGTGGACAATCAATAAAATATATTAAAAAAAAAATCTTTAGCAAGTATTCCTCCTATCTTCTAAAATTCTAGTTTATAGTACAACTGCAATACTTCTCAAAGTTTATATGGAAATATATGCACACATATGTCAAGAACCAAGTTCCTTTTCCTTCCCAGAGAATTTGGCTGTTTCAGCAAAAGGAGAAATTACTCAAGAAGGGCCTCAAGAAGTGTTGCAAAATATATGTCTGCTGGTAGATGAAAATTCCACCTGATAAGCCTTACAATTCAATCTTCAGATAACTGCAGCTATTTTATTCTCTAAGTGTTTTTGAACAAGTTTCCATACAGAAGTATTTGGTCTCCTGAATGAAAAAGAAAATTATCTATAAACTCACATAATTAGATAGATGGCGGATCCCACTAGGAAAGCGTTTAGGGTCTGCCTGAAGTCTGCCTTTTGAGTCTCTTTGGGGAGCCATCCAACAGTCGTCAATGCAGAGATACTCATATCCTACTTCCTTCCAGCCATCTGAGTCCATGAGATCTGCCATCTGCATGAAGAGATTCTCACTGAAAGAGAAATTCCAAGAATCATTACAATTCATTAAGCAAACGCTTGGGTACTTCCTATTTGTTAAGTACCTTGGAGCTTTCAATTTTTTTCAACCCAGTAATAGTTGGGTAGTAATCACAACCAAAGCAAGTTAAGTTAAATGGACTGAGCCCTTTTTCTTCTCCTTGCCCCCACTCTTAATACTTGTACCCTAAGAACCCTGAACAATCAAAATAGGAATGTGCAATGCATGAAATTGAAAAGGTTATTAGAAACTAAAAAGTTATATTTGATATATAAATGTTAAAACCAACATACAGCAAGAACCACCATATTCACCACATATGATAGACAAAAACAAAATATCCCAAATGCAAAAAACATTCCAATTGAAAAATAGGGAACACAAATAGGTATAATCAACAGCTTCCTTAGCTATCAACAATAACCTAGTTGGAGAAAAAGATAGCATTGATAAGAGCAAAGCAGAAAACAACAGGAAAACCTAAAATACCTGGGAATAAATTTAAGATATAACTTTGCTCTTGGATAAGAAACAATATTAAGAAGAAGCTAATTCTCCCTATATGCATTTTCTTGGTTAATCCTCACCTGAGGGTATATTTTTTTTCCTACTGATTTTTAGAGAGAGTGGAAAGAAGGGAGGGAAGGGAAGAGAGAGAGAAAGAGCAAGAGAGAGACAGAGAGAAATATTGAATAGTTGCCTCCTGCATGCGTGCCCAGACTGGGGGTGGGGAGTACACCCGCAACCAAGGTACATGCCCTTGACCGGGAATTGAACCCGAGACCCTTCCATGCCCCAGCTGATGCTTATGAATTTCATAAAACCCTAAACAAATCCCAAAAAAACTTTTTAAGGTACTTGGTAACATGTTTTGAAAGGCTCACCTAAAAGATTAAACATATAATCATTCTGCAAAAAATAAATGAAGCTGGTGTAGTACCAGTAGCATTAGAATACACAGATCAATGGAATTAAAGAGAATGTTCAGAAAGAGATCCTTCCAGCCATTGGGTACCATGGAATTTAGTTGATATTAAATATGGTATTCTTTATAGGAGAATAAAGACCAGACACATTAAAGATTTACATATTTTAAAAATTTATAAACATACTAGTAGAAAATATAGGTGACTATATTATTTTCAGGTAGGAAAGGACTTTCTCAGCATTATGCCAGAGTCAGAAATAATAAAGAAAAAAATTTATATTTGATATATAATGTTAAAACCAACATATAGCAAGAACCACCATATTCACAACATATAATAGACAAAACAAAATATCATCCCAAATGCAAACAAAAACAATTGAAAAATAAGGAACTAACACAAATAGGCACTCTATAATAGAAACGGTGCCAAGAGCCAATTTAACAAATAAGATGTTTAATCATATTACAAATCAAATAAATGAAAATAAAAACACCTACCTGATTGACAAAGTTTTAAAAGAATGGCAAAAATGCAGCGTTGGCCAGGATGTGGGGAAACAGGCATTCTCATACACTGTTGTTGGGAATGTGCATTTGTAAAACTTTTGGGGAGGACAGTTTGTACGTCACAAAATGAGCATATACTTGGACCCAGTAATTAGACTTCTAAGGAAATAATCAGATGATGTACAATGATGTATAGTTTTGTTCACAATAATGAAAAATTGAAGAGCCTGAATAGGTATCAACAGGAATTTGCTCAAATAAAATATGTAATATACACACAACTTGCATTTATGAAGTTCTTATTGTATGATAGGCTTACATTTAGGAAGAGTAATTCATTTGCCAAAGGTCATATGGCTAAGTAACAGAAAGCTAGAATTTGAAAGGAGGCAAGCAGAGTTCAGAGCCTTGCTTACAACTCAACATAAACATGATTTCATTTTTATTGAAAATAATGAAAAAAAAAAACACCGAAATCTGTGATCTGTGTTATTTACTAAAAACCTATTCCAAGGCCTTATATTACCATATTAACTATGATTACTTCTGGGTGGTGGAATGAGGGGACTCTTTATTTTCACTATACTCTTCTTTACTATCTACACTTTTTGCATTGATTATGCATTAGTTTTATAATCGGATACAAAAATAAAGACAACCACCACTTAGAAAAAAATTAAAAGAAATATGTGATGGGCACAATTGCTATACACTTTACCCCAGGGTCACAATGGACTTTGTCTGAAACTTAGAAGTCCATTAATTCTGTAATGTTTGACCAATATCCTAATTTTATCTGTAAAGCTGTAAAGACATTCATAGGAATAACTTATATGCACTGGGATGTATCATAACTGCTGATTTCAGAGGGGTTTCTGCACCACAGGTGTCTTTAGTATTCTGTTATTAACTATTAAGAACTATTCTGTTATTAACCAGTGTCATCCCAACAAACATTAAAAAAGAAACTGATATGACAGATGGGTACTAGACTTATCAGGGTGATCGCTTCGTAAGTTATATAAATGTCTAATCACTATATTGTACATCTGTAGCTAACATAATGTGTTAACTGTGATTAAAAATTTTAAATAAAACACCCCATTACTTCACAGATCCTTCTGAGTCAACTCTTTGAGGTCAGAGTTGTTATTCCCAATTTACAGACAAGGAATGTGCTGATCAGATAGGTTCAATACTTGTCTAATCCAGGCAACATTGTTGGGGAAGATCAGAGATAAGATGGTGGTGAGCCTCCCAGTGGGACCTGACAATTGTTGACCCCTCCCCTGACCTTGGAGCGTGAATTCTGCTTCCCTTCCATGCTCCCAGAAGCTGCCCCAAGGATATAGCCTTAAGAGAAATTTGTTGCTACTATCAGGATGATATCCAGGCATACACCCCCGCCCCCCCCACACCACCCCTGGCTTTATTGCGTGTCACAGATGTTGCGTTTTTACAAATTAAAGGCAAAGACCCTCTACCAACAAAAAACATGACTTCCTTTATTGTGATACCTGGAACCGAACCTGAAATATCTCTGAGGTATGCCTGTACCTGACTGAACCCAGCTAAGGCCTCTGTACAAGCCTTTATTTGGCCGGCAGATATGGAAAACTATTCCTCTTGCAGCTTCCCGAGAAAAGCTGCATAGGTAAGTTCCCTTGCTCATTAAAACGGCCACTTACTAATCTGGATAGGTCTGCCACACTTTCTTGGGTTTCTCCCAGCCCTGCGCTACTGGGGCGGTCTCAGATTACACCCAGGTTGCTCCAGGCCAGTTAGTGAGCCAACAAACCTCAACACTTGGGTTCCATATACAGGCAGACCTCGGAGATACTGCGAATCTGGTTCCAGACCACCACAATAAAGCAAGTCGTAATGTTTTGCTGGTTGAGGGTCTGGCGTTAAATTTGTAAAAAAACAAAAATAAAAAATCTGTGAAGCGCAATAAAGCAAGGTGCAACAATGCGAGGTATGCCTGTACAAAGTTCCTTCAGGTCGACCCTTCAGCCAGAGGCCACACTCAAGGGCGAGAGGGTGGGGAGATCGCAGAGACTCCACAGGCCCTCTAAACTCCCTCAAGTTACAGTCAAGGAACCCTGTGACCCAAAAGAAGAAGTCCTCTCTCCCACTCACCGCAGCTGTGCTTGCTGCTAGTACCAGCAGAAGCAGAGCAGCAGCTCACAAGAAGGGTTTGAACGGAACTGGATGGTAAATGGAGAAAGTCCCTAGCTCGGTAATCCGGCAGAGACTGAAAGGCCAGAGAAACTAGGGCAGCTGGCCGGGTTCCCACCCCAGGAGGGGTCATAATGAGTATATTTAGGGCTAATCTCCATTCGGGCCAATTCGCTGCAAATAAAAAAGCAGCAGCAGTAGGGAAGCTCTCCCTCAGGCTCAAATGTTGCCGCTGAGAACCTCTACCCCTCCAAACACACGGAAAGGCGAAGGGAAGGGTGTACCCAATATCTCTGATACCTGATACAGGAATCCGGCTCCTCTGTGCAGTCAGTGTTGCACATGAAGCGCTCCCAGTGCAGCCAGCCCATGGTGGGGGTCATGGCCAAGCCATTGTCCAGGGCCCAGGCCCCAGGAATCTCCCAGAGAATCAGGGCCATTAAGCAAAGTGCCAGCACGCAGCCCGGCGGCTGGAGGCGTCTGCCAGTCAGTCTCATCATCAGTATAACCATGCAGAACATTTCCGCGGTAAGCTGGGCTTTTAAGTTTAACCTTAGGGGCGGGACAATCACTGGAGAGTTACGTAATGACGTTGTTGTTTCTCAGGCAACTGGGACGGTTATCCCAGAGGCGGACCAATGATCAGTCACGTAAAACGCACCGCAACCAATCACGCTCTTTCTTCCTTAACATAGGCCCGCCCTATTTCCATATCAGAAGGAAGTGTGCTCTTTAGTGATCTAGAGTTTAAGCGGAGAGTTACTCACGTGACCGAGATCTCACATGACGTAGGCGCTCACGTGACCATTCGCTTACGTGAGCAGAAGTAGTTCGGTCGTCGTCTACCGTCTCGGGACCCGGGGGTGGTGATGATGAAGACCAAAGCGGGGGTCCGCAGGCCGGCTTCTCTTTTTTCGCTCCTCGCTTTCTCTTCCCCCGCCCCCCACTCCCCCATCTCAGTGCCGGGAAGCCGCCTTTGCTGCGCCTGGTGGGGAAATGGTGGACGTTCGTGACTGTGTGTGGTTTTTGTATATCTTTCTGTCTGGGCGGGTCTCAGGGGAACCCTTAAGAGAAACCTGACGGAGAAAAACGTTTGAAAACCACATCCGTAGATTAGAAAAAAAAAAAAAACATATTGAGATTAGTGGTCTGAGCGCTCGTCCATCCTTTCAGGCATTTAGTCTCCACTGCCTGATTGTAGGGAGAGGCACCAAGTCAGTTTTATATGTAAAATCACATCTAGGTAAACGTTATGTGCCTAACAGAGGAGCCCAATAAATGTTTTTACTGAGTTGAGTATTTAAATAACGTTTTGGGGTTTTGTTTTTGCTTATAACAATTTACTTGGTCAATTTTGAACATTCGAAAAATAACAATATAAGTTTGGTTTTTTTACTATAAGTTTTTAAAAAATACTTGTAATTCATTACCCAGAGTTAACTACTCCGCACTTGGTGTATAAAAAGTATGTGCATAAGACACATACAAATACACAAATTCTTAACTCACAAATGGAATCCTGGTTCCTACTTCAGGCAATGGAGTATTAGTGGCCTTCCCGGGTGATACAGTAATGAATTAGAACTTTCCTGCCACTACAGAGGGGATCTTAAGGCCTAGAGTGCTGCAGAGACATTAAATGGGGCGAGTGTTCCAAGAGCTAAAACAGGCCAAAAATTAGTCCGAAAAATCTATCGCTCAAATCTAAAGATGGTTTATATGATGACTGTTAACCACCGCAGATGCGGTGTGCAGGGCATATAATGGGCAATTAGTGTTGGTTGAATTGAATCCTCTAGTTTTATGGCAGTTAGTACACTTTGTACTTTTCTAGAAGCCCAGTGTTCCCAGACCATGTCTGATAAGCCACCCACGTACCAAATCAGAAACTTTTTATAAAATTTGCTATACCAAACTCCAGAAAAGCAAACATTTTGCTGAATTAAAATACCCTAGAAAATTAAGAATGCAACAAAAGTTTTAAAAATGAAATAGAAAAAGCCATAAACCTACCACTCAGAAATCACTGTTAATATTTGACTCATTTCCCATGCATACATTTTTCCTAACACTGCTTTTTAAATTACAATGATTTAAAAAAAATTAAACCTATGTAGTAGTATATAGGATATGGGATATGAAGTGGAAATCCACTCCACTCTCCCTACCCTCCAATTCTTTCCTCAAAAAACAAGTTTGTATTCTATGCTTCCAGATCTTCTTCTATGCATTTACAAACATATACATGCATGCTTATATTTTAAAATAAGGAGGATCATACTATACATATTTTTTCATTTAATATATTTTGGAAATCTTAGGCCAGGGCAGATCTTTTTAAAAAGCTTCATAGCATCCACTTTAAGGATAACGTATACTTTATTCAGATGTCCCCCTATTGATGGAGAGTTAGGTTTCTAATTTTCTGCAATTACTAACAGTGCTGCAGTGAACATTTGTATTTCAGTTGACCAGGCTCTGGAAGGAGTTCTAGCAGGGTTGAAGAATATATGTTTTTTACATAGTTGAGATTATAAAGTAGCTGTGATCTTGGGTCACTTAAGATTATAGCAAAGTAATTTCTCATGTAATTAAATATTTTTACAATTTTTAAAAATTGTGTAATGTTCTGTCTTTCTTAATAAAATACCTTTCAGTGTATATATAGCTCCATAAATCTTTGTCTGAATTTCAGATCATCGCCTACGGCACATTACCTAGAGTGGATTTACTATACCAAAAGACATGATACATGTTTCCAAATTGCTTTCCAGAAATATTGTACCAACTTTCACTCTTCTGGGTGTGTGTCAGTTTGTGAACCCTGAATATCAGCATTGGTTTATCCTCACTGGTTAATTTTCACTATCTTGATTGGTGAAAATTGGCAATTCTGGTTTTAAGGTGCATTTCTGGTGATTGATGGAGTTTGAACATTTCCTAGACTCTTCTCCTGTATCCTCATATCTCTGTTCTGCTATATTTTAATCTGTTACTAAGTTCCACAGGGTCCACTGCTTTGAATACATAGATCACGTCTTCCGTTTTTTAAATTGCTGCTGCCTTAGGTCAGGGGTGGGGAACCTTTTTTTCTGCCAAGGAGCATTTGGATACCTATAACATCATTCGTGGACCATACAAAATTATCAGCTTAAACATTAGCCTTCTGTATTTGGCGAAACATTTAATTAATTCACCCCTAATGCCTTGGCAGGGCCAGACCAAATGATTTCGTGCCTTGTACGGCCTGCCAGATGTTTCCCACCCCAGCCTTAGGTGAATCCTTAACATATCTCTAGGAGATCAGGGTTCTAACGGATCTTGCTAGTGTCCCTTCAACCCCCTCTGAGTGCTACACTGTTTTCAGGGAGATCTATCTGGAAGGGGTCTGAAGATGTCACTTCCCTCCCCTCACTCCTATCCCTTCACTCCTCTTCCCCTAACTCCTATCTCCTCACACCCTTCTCCCCTCACTCCCTTCTCCCCTCACTCCCTTCTCCCCTCACTCCCTTCTCCCCTCACTCCGCTCCCTTTACTCCCCTTGTTAAATAAAGGCCCTTAAGATTTGTCAAATAAGGCCTTTGGGACCTGATCTCTATCTTGCCAGCCTTATCTCCTGCCTTGCCTCTTCCTATTTTATGCTCTATCATAATTTTTTAAAATAGGTTTATGGATCCCTGAAACAGTCTGTTTCATTTAACTGTTCTGTGCCAACTGATAGAATTGACCAACCACGCCCTGCTTTAATACCTTTTCACCCTGCACAGAATTCTGTCATAGCAGAGATAATATGTTTATTTGCCCTTTTGTTTTTAGTAAAGGCATATAGTACCCCTGTAGGACCATAAGTCCTTTTTGGGCTTATTGATCCTTGTATGCCAGAGCCAAGTACTGGACCTGCAACTGAAAAATGTAAAACAAATGTGTGAATTCCCCATAATGTCTTTTTTCCATTTATCTCTTAGACCTTAATATTTCCCTGATTTTATTAATTTGTGTGAGTTCTTTATATAAGGGTATTAATGCATTTGTTGCCGTTATCTTCTCAAGTGTATTGGTTGTCTTTTAATTCTGTTTAATCTTACTTTTGATGTAATGAAGATTTTCATTTTTATGTAATCAAATATAGCCATTTTTTAATTTGCTGACATCTTCCACTGATTTTGCTGATGTTAATTTTTTACTCCTTTTTCTCTTGACTACGATGTTAATATATGGTCAATGTAGGTATCTTAGAACATACAGAATTTCCAAAGAAAACATTTCTTGAAACTAAAAGCTCCCATAATTCTATCACCTAGAAATAACCAGCATTAATGATACCCAACACATAATAGGTATCAGGTATCAAAAAAATTGTTGAATGAATTAGAAATTTGGTGCAGTCCTTTTATTTATGTGAATGTTTTACCAAAAAAGCTACCAGTGTACTTGAATTTTGTATTCATTGTTTTTTTCTCTTACTGTATTGTGAACATTTTTCCATGATAATAGTCTTCTAATTTTTTTCAGCTCCACTGAAATTGCATTGATCCGAGCTTGCCACCAAGAGCCTAACAGTCACCATGATGCTGAGCACGGAAGGCAGAGAAGGTTTCGTGGTGAAGGTCAGGGGCCTACCCTGGTCCTGCTCTGCTGATGAAGTGATGCGCTTCTTCTCTGATTGCAAAATCCAAAATGGCACATCAGGTATTCGTTTCATCTACACCAGAGAAGGCAGACCAAGTGGTGAAGCATTTGTCGAACTTGAATCTGAAGATGAAGTGAAATTGGCTTTGAAGAAGGACAGAGAAACCATGGGACACAGATATGTTGAAGTATTCAAGTCCAACAGCGTTGAAATGGACTGGGTGTTGAAGCATACAGGTCCGAATAGTCCTGATACTGCCAATGATGGCTTCGTCCGCCTTAGAGGACTCCCATTTGGCTGTAGCAAGGAGGAGATTGTTCAGTTTTTTTCAGGGTTGGAAATTGTGCCAAATGGGATGACACTGCCTGTGGACTTTCAAGGGCGGAGCACAGGGGAGGCCTTTGTGCAATTTGCTTCGCAGGAGATAGCTGAAAAGGCCTTAAAGAAGCACAAGGAAAGAATAGGCCACAGGTACATTGAAATCTTTAAGAGTAGCCGAGCTGAAGTCCGAACCCATTATGACCCCCCTCGAAAGCTCATGGCTATGCAGCGACCCGGTCCCTATGATAGGCCAGGGACTGGCAGAGGTTATAATAGCATTGGCAGAGGGGCTGGGTTTGAAAGGATGAGGCGGGGTGCCTATGGTGGAGGGTATGGAGGCTATGATGATTATGGTGGCTATAATGATGGGTATGGCTTTGGGTCTGATAGATTTGGAAGAGACCTCAATTACTGTTTTTCAGGAATGTCTGATCATAGATACGGAGATGGTGGGTCCAGTTTCCAGAGCACCACAGGGCACTGTGTACACATGAGGGGATTACCTTACAGAGCCACTGAGAATGATATTTACAATTTTTTCTCACCTCTTAACCCCATGAGAGTACACATTGAAATTGGACCCGATGGCAGAGTTACTGGTGAGGCAGATGTTGAATTTG